CCATAATATTGCGGCTAGTAATCAGCGCAGTGTTGGAACCTACCAGGTACCCACTTGTACTCCTGGGTGGAGAGAGGCAACCGTAGATAAAGTGCCTTGCCCAAGGACATAATAATACATTGTGTAGCATAGCTCTCAACGAATACTGTATTTAACTTTCTTTGATGATTATTATATAATTTAACAGTGTTAACAGCTATCTTGATTTATATATATTTATATATAGGCCTATATATATTATATATATATATCTATTTATATAGATATATATATATATTTATGTATATATGTATATATATATCCGTTTAAAGACATAAAATACATAGGAATATATACATATATCAATTAGATACTCAGTCTTGTTCCGCAAGGTACCACTGTTATGAAATAGCTATTACAGGTTGAATGTAGCAAGGTTGAATAAACAGCAAACACTATAAATAACTCGGTAAGGGTATTTCCCAAATCCAAGCGTCTCGAGTATGCGTCACAGTTGAGAATACACATGGCAGATTTCTATCGACTAAAACTAAACTCTGGTTTAAAACCAATATATTAAAAACGCGATACGGTTTTTGATATTTGGAAAAAATGCTAATGAAAACTGTCTTAACTGCGTCGCCATGATTGGGCCTATTTGTTCGCTTACAATGTCTAATAAATGGTTTAATAGTGCTATATTAACTATAATGATTTTAACACAAGTCTACCAACTAATACCAACTAATTCATTGCATCATAGAAGTATAACTTTTTCCACTATGATTGAATTGATTATTTTAATTTTAACTCAAATATCAACATAGGAATGGATGACAGCGATATAAATTGGTATAGATTGAAACAAATATCAAAGAAACGTAGCTGAATTTGACTAAGCAAGAGAAAAAATAACACTGATCTCTGTCCACTGGGTCTCTAGCCCAGCGGGTCACTGTCATTCTAGATACGAATGCTTTGGGAATACATTTTTGTACGATACACGATGTGTACAAATGCTTTGTGGACACAATTTTGTAGATATATTATGTGATTGTTATAAATATAGAAAGAAATTTCCTTAAGATCTTGCTGCTTTCAAAATTCAAATTTTGAATATCATAAGGCCACAGGCATGTGTGTGCGTATGTTTTATAGGAATATGCGTTCATTATATTAAGCGTTAGATCGTAATTTATTAATGGCACTGGCCAATTAACTCATGAATAAAACAGTGCGAAGTTAAAAATTGCATTGTGGGTAATCTAAATAGAAACGTATTGTTCAACAGTGTTCACAGTCTGGTTGTGTGGTGACGAAAACAATGACATTTATTAATATAGTATTTTATTTTAGTATTTTAAAAATTAGTATCGTAATACTGTAATGCAATACTTGATGATCTGTTATTATTATTATTATTATTTTTATTATTATTATTAGTATTGTTATTGTTGTTACTGAACATCAGAGTATTTTAGTTACTACAAAAGTCTTGTCTAAATGTTAGCGTGCACATAGTTAAATGCATAATGCAACCTAAACAATTTTGAAATGCTAAAAATGTAAAATTAAAACTTACAATTGCTTTTTCGCATCGCATGTTATCAACTTCTATAAATAGTCATAGATGAAAAAATGGTTGTCAATGATTTACAGTCGTTTACTACGAAAATCCTTAAACTTGCAAAATGTATGGGTATGCAAACACTAGGCTTATCTGAATGGCGAGGATTCTTTTCTCGTTCTATATTTATTTAATAACACAGTAGCTACCGTAATACATTTGTGAAGGAAGGCAACATGTTTTAATGTTTTAAATTGGATTTACGAGGTAGCAATAAATCACTCCCATGCATTTTTGCTTGTAAGTTAAAATGGTAGCCACTTGGGTAAATTCATGAATTTAAAATTGTTCAATAGTATGTGAGTATTATTAGTAGACCTACTACTCTTATTTATATATTTTTGTTATTTGCGATGTGTTTGTTCTTGACATGTGGATGAACTTCGTAATTCCTTACCGAATAGAAATCATTATCTTAAATTGAAAGATGTACTAATACGTACCGTACCGTTTTAGTTATTAATTCTATGGCTATCTCTCCCTCTCTCTGATGAATGGTCATGATAAAAAAACAGGCACCGGATAAACTATTGACCCGAATATTAAATATAACTCAGTGGCAATCAAACATGACAGTAATGAAAACATCAGTAGAATTGATAATAACAAAGATCGTAATGTTAATGAGTGACACGCCACGTAAATTCTTATTTTTTTAAAATTAGTAAATTGGGCAGTGATGTTCTAGTTAAGAATGAAATGCTTAAACAATGGAACAATTTGAGATTTATATTTTTATTACTTGATTTACGTCTGTCAAATCCTGAATCTTAGTGGTCATGATATTTTTAAATCATCGAAGAGATATTTAAATTAAATTATTCCAAGAAGAAAACAGATAGGGCAGCCGAACTAGGAGATGTTAATCTCATATCAAAGACACAATAGTCAATATTTAACCTAAATCTCCTGGTATTTAGTTCTTATGGTATAAGATTATCATGGATTTTTGGTCGATTAAGGCTACGTGGAGGCTGCTTATAGAGGTTATCTACGGGGCACATTCTTATTCAGGTACCATAAAAGTTTGTTGCCGCTGAGACTTGGTGACCATTTCCACGTGCTGGTGAGAGATGTAACTCAGAAGAAGACAAAGAAGATTGTAACTTGGCAAGTTCACTGTTAAGCGCAAAACCAATGACCGTCTTACACTACTTCAAGTAGATCTATTAAGCAGAGGTTTGGGTAAATATCTCTCATTTGGGATTTACAAGTCACTTAGCGCACGCGCAACTGTTTCGTCATCAGGTAATTTCTTTCCGTTAATCTGCATTAGCTTAATTTTTCAGGATATTATTTGCGACTTCTTTCGACCTGCCGATCATGATTTTTATTTCAAGTATTTTATAATCGGTCATGTTGACGCAAACAGTAATCGCTATGAAATGGTTGTTACGCTATTAAGATATTGGTATATTTCCGAAATAGCAATCTGTTCTAACACTCGATTATCTATTTGTGCTTCTTAAGACAACCAAGCTTTTACTTACAAGTCCACTCGATTTATTCATGATATAAATGTATTCTGTTCTACTAGGTGTTATGTTAAACATACTGTAAGTAGGCCTAGTTGAAGTCTTTTGTTCTGTTTTATAGCATCTCTAACATTTTATCAACAGAGTACTAGCCCATAGGCCAATCCTATAGTGGATGGTAGTTTATATTGAGGATTGGAATTGTCATAATCTTTATAGTAATGAAAATATTAATTGTAATAGTAATAATATTAGTAACATTAATACCAATGCCAAAGGTAATAGAAATTGTAATAGTAGAAGTGATAAATGTAAATTTAAAAGATACGGCGATGGTGATAAAGACGGTGGTGATGGTGGTGACTAATTATGGGAGTAGTTGTGTTAGCGGTGATGATGAAGATGATGATGATGATGATACAGTAATTGTATATAATAATGATGATAATGGCTAACATATAACTTAGGCCTGCCTGTATTACATGGTCCGCTGTCCGATTTTACCGTCTCCTAATTATCATTATTTACTGCAGTTTATTTACAGATAGACCTCAAATCAGAACAGCAAACTAACAGATGTCATAGTTATGATGGGCTTTACTCCCCTATTGTTCCGCTAGCGATACTATTGTCATTATCGTTTAAAGGAACAAACGGTCACGTGCGTACAAAACACTAACCACCCGCACACTCGTGGTCACGTCACGTGTCCTAGTAACCAACACCTTCTCAATTTTATGGTTAAGAAAGGATTATATCATTTATCTATTTGTTTATTATGTTCAAACTCACAGTGCTACACAGCAAATTTGAGTTACCATTTTCATTTAGTATAATTTCCGCTGCCACTTTCCAGGGTTCTCTTTGGCTTCAACTTCTCCTCTATGTAAAGAAGGAGTGAACTTGGTTGAAGCAGGCTTCTGTAGTTTAGCGGTATGGCATTCGCTTTGACAAGAGATCGCTGGTTCAATTCATGTCGGAAACAATTATTCCCGGCCATGCAATATTTAGTTTAGGGCATGTTATCAATATATTGCGTATTATGCAATACCTTGAGAAAAACGTGTTCTAATGGTACCAATCATAAGCAGAGCTTGGCATCACAACTATTGGCAATATGTTTTTCTCAAACAAGAATTATTTATCATCTTATGATGAATGTGTTTCTTTAGCTAGTCTAATATCATAACACGTAGGGCTTAAGTTATCCAAGATTGATTTTGCGTTAAAAATGTTGTTGTGCTTCTGTAACAAAAGCATTATTTTTGAAACGGTGTTGTCATAACTGTTTACGCGAATGTAAATGAAAATGAATATGTTTAGGAAATCAAGGGATAAGTATTCAATCAGAAGGATTTAAAATATTGAATGACTTATAAAATAATACCGTTTATATTCGACAACTGTTTGGCTGCAGTTACAATACCTCTTCGAATAGAAAATGCGACCGTAATCTTAATACTATTAAGTTACCCCATATGACGTCACGGCTGAATTGTAAAGGATGGATAGAGATTGATTGAATTTATAAATAATTAAATCAGAGGATTGGTAAAATTGCATTTACAATGTAATCTTGTTATCCCATTGTACGGTATCGGTTATTCTAACGCGAATCCGACTTTAACTCAGCTAGGACACTCACTCCACTTAAAATATTGTATTTTGGATTTGCCGTGTTAAATGTTTACTTAATCTGTTTTTGGCTTTGTTTAGTACACCGAATAATATTTCATGCTTTTTTTAGTTTTATGTAAAGCTTAAACTAAGTTTTATTACGTGTCGAGAATTTTCCTCCTGTCATCTATCAAAACTTAACTTGAATGATAGAATGAGATTGTTTTAATGTATTACCGTATTATAATTTCGTAATTTCAAAAATAACATAACGTGCAAGTTTACGATAGTAGGCTAAATATAGTCGCATCCGTATGAGCGACGAGTACGTATATTGGCAATGAGCCAAGTCATCCGTCATTTATTGGACATGAGCCAAGTGATGAGTCACTGAAAAATGTAATTGAAGTGTATATCAATTTGACGCATTAGCAGTGAAACCCCATGGGAGATGGGATGCCAGGCTTATGTGAGACAAGTCCCCGTGGGTCCCATCATTGGCTATAACACTAAGATTTTTTGCAGGCTAATCTAACAACGAGACGGAACGCTTGATTAGACTAGTGATTTAGAACCGACACCACGTGTGCTGAATACAATTAAAAATGATCATAAGTACAAGAATAATTTTTAGTCGGATCATATTCAAAGTAGGTAAGACTTAATTTTGGTTTTATTGATGTTTGTGTTGCAACGAAAACCCCCATTAAACTATTAATTTACAGTACAGAATATTATCACATTGGATTGTGTAACGAATTGGTGAAAACTTGGAACGTAAGTGCTTTTGTCTAATAAGAAACAAAATGATTAGCTATTTTTACAAATTGCCATTGAGAAATTTCATCTATCATTTACGAATGCGTCCGAGTAATTGGAGAGAAATGTCAAGTCCAACTTTGCTGCCAATTTACTGCTGTTCGTCTGCTCTGCTTCAATGTGAACATCGATTGGATATCAAACTATTAATGCTACAATAAAGTAATTTTGTAAATAAATATTTATAGATTATAGATTCTGAATTAAAAAACTCTGATTTTATACATCTTATTCATTCGCTTAGACTTAATTAGACTTTGAATGAAAATATCGTATTACCTAAACACTGATCCATAATTTGACATTTTCTAATTATAATGTGCATTATATTATATGCCTAGTATGCCTAGTAGTCTCAAGCCTATTATTAAGTAGGAGTGTAAGCCTTATTTTTTACTATTCGATAAAGTTACAGCAACATTAAAAAGTACAAAAGGTATAGGCTTATATACTGTATATCTAATTGCTATTGCGTTACTATTCAATTTTATTTGTTTTTGAAAATAAAGCCCAACGGAGAATCGAGCGCTTCGTCTAATTGCAAGTTCGAAAAAGCAGCACGTATTTCAATGTAGTTATCGTAAATACACATGGCTTCCAATTATATCAGTCGTTTATCTTCTTCCAGAACTCTATTCTGTCTAGTCAATTTAGTTAACACTAATCAGCCAGTGTATAACCAGTGGCTATAGAATATGAAAATCATATAAAATATATATGAGTTGCGTCGTTAAGATCTTGAGAAGCAGGAGCGGATATTCGTCGCCTGAGGGATGCACTTCTTCCCCGTTGGATTACTTTACTAAACAAAGGCTTCATTATGCTAAGCAGGCCTGAGCCTTTGTTCGTATGACTCGTAAAGAAAATGTTTACATTTAGCTTCTGTCATGATTTGTTGTAACTGATTGGTGCACGCGATTTAGTACCTCAAAAATGAAGTTTCGATTGTGGAGATCTACACCTGAGACCAAGAATGCTTCAACGCGCATTTACAATAGGTAATACATTTGTGCGCTATTAGGATTACGATAATTTCTAATTGTAGCAGAAAAAAAATAACATACGAAGATGGAAAAAATTATAAATGCAACTTAGAAATGTGATATTAACTTTCAACAGGAAACAGGGTGAAGACATTTTTTCGCTGAATTACAAACGTTTTACTACAAAAAAAAAAAAAAAACCCAAAAAGAGTTTACTAGCCAATAGTATATGCAAAATAATATACAGCAAATGTAGTAGGCCTACTTAACTCAGTTAATTGAAGAGGATTTTTTTTCTGTTCAAATTTAGTTATACGTTAATGTATGTTAAATATACAAAGGCAGTTCAAATATGGAATACCAATAAGGATGGATGAGAGTATACTGGTAAAATATTCACACAAAAATATGAATAACATAGACCTAGACCTAGATAATAAACAAAAACACATCATATTAGAACCATAAACGTGAATGAGTTGATTTTCTTCAAATTTACGGACTAGGCCTACTGTATGTCAAACTGATTGATTGACTTTATAAATGTACATTATCCTTGTTATTTCTGTTCGGTTAATTCAGGTCACTCTGTTTTAATATGTCTTCGCTGATAATCAAGCCTCGTGACTTTTACCAAATCGGATTTTATTAAGTTACCTGAATCATGGGCAATAGACCTATATAAACCTAGGATGCTGAAGGTGAACATTCAAAACAAAGCAAGTTCATCTTATATTCACGTTCAATTATGTACAGTTGTTTAAAAAAAAAACTTATGATAATTGCTAAGTTAATCTTCTGCAAGTCCTTAAATAACGCAAACAAAGGAAATTGAGAGAGAATTGAGGAATGCGTTATCGGTTCTTAATAACTATAATATCTCAAGCTATGAATATAAATTGTTTTTGATTACGAGATGACAAAACGCATATTATGCTAATAACCATTGAAATAATTTCAGTGACTGTATGAATTTGTTAATTTGAAGAGACTCAAAACGAAGAGAGAGAAGGAAACCATTCGACTGGAGATGAAGGTTTTGAACTGATAACATTGATTAAATTTACAATACATTTAATGTTATCACAGCTAAATCTATGTAAATAAAACGCAGGATATAACGATTTTTCTACGAATCAATAGTCCTATAGGCACATCTACTGTCGACTAAAGAGTTTTTGTCCGATTACTAATTTATAGTTTCCCATGAAATCAAATACTGTACGGTACTTATGAGAATAAAAAATGAATTAATTGTTATTGACAGTGCTGCAGGAATGTACCATGATTACATTGAAATTTAATTTAATTAAGCTCTTCTTAGATCTCGTCTAGTCGTTTAAGATGCTTAAGAAGGGGGCTTATAACATTGATCTTTATTTAAACGTATGTGCGTCAAATACTAATGTTATAATATAATGTTATAATGTTATGTTATGTTTTTTATATATATATATATATATATATATATATATATATATGTGTGTGTGTGTCTGTCTCTTATACACATCTATTTAAAATTGAGTTAATTACAAACAATTCTAAGTGACGTCAGAATAAGGAGATGTGTATAAGAGACAGATGTGTGTGTGTGTGTGTGGGGTTTGGGGGTGGGTTTGTGTGTGTGTATTATATGTTTTTTTTTGTCGAATGCTATCAAATTAACAACTCAAAAGGCCTGTACATTACGGCTAAGATAGACGCGACAGAATTTCACCCTAATAACAAGGACTTAAGTTTTTGAAGTCCCTGCTAATACTGTACATTACTGTCTGCGTAACAATATTCTGGATACTAACTGCGATTTGAAAATTGAGTTTGATGGTCAGAAAGTAAACACGCCAAAGTAAAACAATTTACAACTTACAAATCAATTGTCTAATTACACTAATGCCTGTAATTGAGGGCAACCACTTTCAAGCCAATACGCCACGTAATTTACTGAGCTGGATTTGTGAAAATTGATCGTGTGGCGATTTTGGTGCATATGTTGAATGTGGTAGAGATTAAGGTATATAATTTGACTTAACGATCGCACGATTCATCGACATGTACCACGCATTTAGTAAACCATTATACTAATTTCTGTTTTCTATTTCACAGAAATAGCACGTGTCGCTTAGCATGCCTAGTGCTGTTGTGTCTGACATGAAAGTTGGCCAGGAAAGCGAAGACAAGCTCGAAACTTTAACGAAGATGAGTGAAGTTATTGTAGAGGAGAGCAATGAAATTACACAAATTGAGAAAGAGAAAGCTCCAAAGAAACAAGGTGCCAGGAAAGGAAAACAGACAAAGAAGCAAAAACAAGAAACAACTGAAAATGGTGAGAAACCACCACCAAAACGTCGCGGGCCCAAAAAGAAGAAAATGACACCGGCGAGAGTGTTCAAATTGAAACAACGACGCGTGAAGGCGAACACCCGAGAACGATCTCGCATGCACGGTTTAAACTTGGCACTTGATCTTCTGCGAAAAGTTGTCCCATGTTATTCAACGAATCAGAAGTTATCCAAGATTGAAACGTTGAGGCTAGCCAAGAACTATATCAGTGCCTTGTCCGAGATATTGCGTTCTGGTTCAGTTCCAGATACGGTTTCATTTGCACAGACACTCTCCGAAGGACTTTCACAACCGACAAGTAATCTGGTGGCAGGATGCATGCAACTGAACCCAAGAACTTTACTTCCAGAAGCGAAGACACAGAGACTGCAAGACCAGCACGATTGGTCATTGAGAGACATCATTGTCAACAATCGGCAACAATATGGACACAAGCAAGCAGATAGTTACATAAATTCATTCCAAAATAACCACCAAACGCCGACACCATGTGGGTATGCTGACTGCAACATCTTCCATTCTGATCCAAATGCAGTCAGTTATCAACATTTGTACGACTCTAACACAGCAATGCAATTCCAAGGCTCAGTTCTTGTGGCTGGAACCGAGGTACACGGTCCAACGCCTCCACACACGCCAAACTTTCCAGATACCGTTCACATGACTAATGAATATTTATCATCAGCTTTAATGACGTCATCAACATCATCATGTGACCTTAATTCCGAATGTAGTAGCAGTGAGTCATTTGATTGTGACGTCACGGTACTTGATGGCAAAGATCTAACATTGCTTTCATCTTCTTCCGAACAGGATTTTTTAGATCAGTACGTTTAACGTTGCTGAAATATTTGGGGGTACCTTTGAAATATTTTTAGAAAACTTGGTTTTCTTGTTGCAAATATATTTATTTAACTGTCCTCTGAGGGTAGTACATGTATTCATAATTTTTTCTTAACTTTTGATCTTTAAATATGTCTTTTTAAAAGAATTTAGCTATTCAATGACATTAACTCACGTGTTAATTATAATGTAATCACTCTCACTTTATATATTGTTATCCAGATGTAAGAAAATCAAATTTCCTTTTTTAAAGGTTTATGATTATTGATTACCATATGTCTTCGACACGCGTTTAAAATATTCAGTTCTTGGAAGTAGAAGTCACAGATAAAGACATTAGTCTAATATAGGCCTATATCATCGAAACGTTTGTAGGCCTAATATCATTAGGAATTCCATGTATATCTTCCAATTCAGAGCTGCAGTATTTAAGCCGCAGTAATACCATGCAACAGAAATGTATTTTAATTGAATTATTCGAATTTAAATAATTTCTATAGGCATCGACTAGGCTAAATTTAGTCTTGATAGGCCCTACTTAATAATGCATGTGGTTCCTCTATTTGGTTATGCCATAGTTACTATGGCGCCCGTTATCATGTTCCTCTAAAACCATTCCAAACTTTTATAAATGAATGTGGCTATCTCTTGAATTTACGTCATTGTAATTATGCATTTCGAAGCCACATTCCCTATGGTATTTCATGTTTTAAACATTCCGAGCTTCATCCATGGTTTTTTGGTTGGCTGCTTGCAGTTTGTATCATTTAGTTATATAAACAATCGTTTGAATTTGGCTTATCTATACTAACGGAAGACATTTTAAGCAAGCAAATAGGAATTCCATCAATGCAAAATAATGTAACGTTTTGATAAAACGACTTTAAAAAAAATGTCCATCAAGCAAGCAACTCTCTCGCTTCCTAACCATAGAGGGCATTAGTACAAACTTACTGTAATATTCTTACTTTACAAATTGGAGATTTTTTTCCACATTATCATTTTCTTTCTTGATATTTTATGGGAATTTCTTATTTCGTTTTCCATGGGAATACTGCATAATATGTGGCTTGAATTGGATCTACAAATCGCCTTTTTAAAAAACATAAATAATGTTAATGCTTATGTTTACTTCTTTTTGGAGGTAATAATTGTTGACTCAATGTGGAGTGTGGCTCAGGTATGTTCTAATGCAATCGTTTATTCATATATTTGGATGACATTTTAATTATGCTCTACATTAAAATAATCATATTTTGTTGGTTTGTTGAGAATAAATACAAAGGCGAAGCATTAAATTTATGACACTGCACAACAATCACTGCCAGTGGTATATGAAAAATAATCCCTATATTACAATAAAACGGAATAAGCGCCTTTTTGTGTAGCTAGAAAACGAAATCTATCGGCGTTCCTATTTGTACAGGCAATGTACAGTACGGTATATTTAGCTGCGAAACTCCTGTCGTTATTTATTTACGCAGGTTTTCGTGGTGATTAGTGAGGGCGCACTTCAATCATAACCAAGGTTGGCAAATTGAAGTTGGCAATTTGGTTTGTAAATGTTACTACAGTGCCGGAAGATAAATGTGCATTAGGCAATATTGTGGATACTGTTGATTTAAGTTAGAACTCATCTGATGTTTATTGGTTGTGAATAATTAATGCTTCTCATGTGTGGTGATGTTCTGTGTCTTTCTAAATTGTTGACGTTAAAATGCAATAATGAAAAATTAGTTAAGTGCGCCGTGCTGTTTATGTGAGGCTTCAGAGGCCAGAAAAGAGCGACCGTTGTCTGTAAAAATTAACTTATTCTTATTTGTAAATTGTTTTATACAGAACTAAATGTGTCTACTCCATTAGATTTAGGCCGGGAAGTATAACATATTATCTCCCTGATTTAGGTGACGTTGATTAGCAACATAGCCCGACGCGGATACGTTTACTTGATAATATATTCCAAACCGATTTTAGCCTTAATTTCTATTGCTAAGGAATTACATTCCCCTTAGTCTTCCGTTTACATAAAAGGAAAGTTCGAAAGCTTTTTAATAGTATGCATTTTATAGACCTATGTGTTTTAATACAACAACAATCCTTTTTTATCTGAAAGCCCTGTTTGCATTTTGAAAATAAGAAATGTCGATTTGTATACATTCGTTGTCATGTTTTGTCTATGTGAATTAAAAAAGGAAGATAATGTCATTTGAAATGTACTGTCATCAATGGATTGTTTGAATCAAGTTTCGTTCAAAATAAATTGTAGCGCCACCAAGCGAGACAATACTTCAATAATCCAAATGACAATAAACAAATACTGTAAGCAAAATAATATCACCGTCTACCACCGAACCACCCATCGACTCACTATTCTACCGACAGTTACAGCCACACACATTGATCCCCATGCATGCCCCACCCATCGAGCCCTACTGCGCCTTGGATTATATGAGATAAGTTTTACCGTAAACTGAACAGCAGTTGTAACTTTTTACAAGGCAAACTAACTCAGAATAACTGTCCCATGAGTAGACGTAGACAAAACGTGTGGACCTAAACCTCTCTGTATATTTGGATTTATGATAAACAGACATTACCGTATCTTTTTTATTTTAATGTATCGATGAAATACTTATGTTTTTTTAGTTATTTCGAACATAATCACTATTTGTTATTCTGAGCTGTAATACAAATTCAATTTTACTAATGCAATTTATTGAATATATTTTTATCTGGCAGCAAAGAGATGAATTGCATCAAATTAACAATAAAGCAAGGAACACCACAATTTTCTCTTACCAACAAGACCTTACAATGAAAAGCAAAAATACATTTAAATAATTACAAATGACCAAATACTTAGTCATTAATTATATTATTAAATATAACAATGCTTCATACGAATATACAAAGACACCAGCAAAAAATAAGAAACGTTGAAATTTGGGAAAAAATAAATAAAACTGCATGAATAGAAGACATATAATAAATACATTAACTTAAAAGCAAATGAAATAAAGAATTGATAAACATATTTTTTATATATGTTGAATATATATATACATGTATTGAAAAAACGTAATATTTGATTCATGTATTAAAAAAACTATTAGGCCTATATTGTTTGATTTGTTCTTTGAGTTAAAGAAACGTTTTGTTGAGAAAGTACCGGTACTTAACTGAACGCTTTGATTTAAATTTGAAGCATTAAGAAAGTTTTTAGATTAATTAAATTATAAGAATTCTCTTCGGAAAAACAATATAAACGTATTATACACAAACCAATATAATTTTTGTTTTGGAAGCGTTATAATACTATACAATTGCACTTTTTCAATAAACGAATGATATTGCCAAAGCCTCTAACAACCATGAACTTGCCATTAATGTTTCGTTGATCTCTAGATCTCTTGATACCACTGTTCAATTAAATTTATTGTTTAAACTCTTCCCTTATGGAATTCATGATCCTGTGTATAACATTCTAAAAAATTGCACATTACGGTACTTGTACTATGCATCAATTATTATCTGTCATTCCTCTAATCTGTTTTCTTTCATAATGTATGCTGATGAAACTACACATCTCTGTACGGACAAAATGTTGATTTCCTCTTCAAGTATCAAACGAAAACCTACTCAAAACCCTTAAATATTTCTCTGCCAATGAACTTTTTAATAGTATGCATTTTATAGACCTATGTGTTTTAATACAACAATAATCCTTTTTTATCTGAAAGCCCTGTTTGCATTTTGAAAATAAGAATCAAGTATCAAACGAAAACCTACTCAAAATCCTTAAATATTTCTCTGCCAATGAACTTTCCGTTAATTTGCAAAAGTGCAGTTATACCGTATTGTTTTTTCTGAATTTTACTAGATTACATGACCACATGATGATGAATATGAAACTTAATCATAGCTATATAAATCAGTCTGTCGATTTTGATAAATTAAATCAGTTAAATATTAACTCTTTTGATTTAGACTACAGCATCCCATCTAATTGTAGATACCACCTTAGTGATAGTTTCTTGTTGCAAGATATTGATACCAATTTTAGCTTTATTCACTTTAACGCTCACAGTCTTGCTAAGAATTGTACAGGAATATCTCATTATTTTGAAACTCTTAAATTGTAGGTTTACCATTTTATGTTTCACCGAGACTTGGTTTTATTTTCATCTAATTTACTTCCAATTATAGATACACCCATTTGCGTAACTAAAACCTCTGCCTCTTTATTTGATCATAACTCTCCTGATCATAAATTCAAACCTGGTATACTCTACAATGACATAACTGATCACTTATACGTTGTATTTCTTGCAAAGATAAACTCTAAATACTTATAGTAGAATAATCAATGACACTTTTTGCAAACAAAATAAACCATGATTAACTAATGGGATTATTCATCATATACTAATTTGAGTAGGAACGAAATGTTTGTGATGATTTTACCGTCCAGACGCGTGCACAGCTTTGGAAGAAATATATCGTAGCATCATTCTTTTAAATGTCTTACCATTATTGCCATATGTTGAGTTCCTATTTATGTCCATTCAAATATCGTAAATAATTTTACAATAAAACGAGTCTACAAAATATTGAACGAGGGCTTGTCACTCTACAAAAGCAACACATGTGAGAATTTTATTATTCAAATTACGTTAGTATTGTACAGCGAAAGGACCAGCAGAGTATTTAGTATGAGTAGGTAAGTGCAATGTACCATTTCACTGAGTGCGGCTGATACACACACGTTCACTAAATATAATGGAATAAAATATATTACAAAGTGATCATCTTATTCACTAAAATAAGTCAATATGTGTGACGAATAAGAAATGTTTACATCCATCATAACATAATTAGCATGTATTGTATAATCCATTTTTTAACATATTCTTTACCAGTAGACCTATTTTACCCGCTTTAACAAAATTATAATTAGCTGATGTTCTTCATTATTTAAACTGTAATTTAAATTTCATTTGCAAGTTCTTTCGAAAATTGGGAGAATAAAGTCAGCAGCTGTTTTCCTTCTTTAGGGGGTCATTTATGAGAATAATTTTCGCATGATGGACAATTAACGTATTTACTTCAATATTATTTTCTTTCATTATTATTATTATTATTATTATTATTATTATTATTATTATTATTATTATTATTATTTCATTACCCTTATATTTTACATGGTACCAGTGTATTATTTATTTCATTATTATTATTATTATTATTATTATTATTATTATTATTATTATTATTATTATTATTATTATTATTGTTATAATTATTATTATTATTATTATTATTATATAATTATTATTATTATTTCATTACCCTTATATTTTACATGTTACCAGTGGTATTTCATCGATATTATTCTTGTTTGTTTCTTTGTTTGTTTTTATTTTATTATTATTATTATTATTATTATTATTATTATTATTATTATTATTATTATTATTAAGATCTAGCCATTCACTAATTCAGTAAATGTTTTTCTTGGAGGATCAGACCTAAAGCCCTTTCGGCTTATTGTTTCCTCCACACAAAATGAAACTTGACTGAGTTTAGGTAGTCATAAATTGTAATCTTTATTGTGAAGTTCTATTGTGTCCATATGATTGTTATTTTGAATTTATGAGCCCTTTCTTTAAAATATTTGAATCTTTAATCTTTAAATCTTTAGAATCTTTAAATTATTACATGATATGTTTTTATATTGTGTTCATTGTGTGAAACAATAAACTGAAACTGAAAGTGAAACTTCCCCTTACGTCAACTACTACCGGTGCTATGAAATTATAACCCTTTCCATCTACAACATTGTTAGTGTGTTAAAATTCTGTGTAATGATTAATCTTATTTCTCGTATGTGTGTGTGTGCGGTTTTTTTTTTTTTTTTTGTTTTTTTTTTTTGGGGGGGTGGGGTCTCAATCCGTATTTCAACAATAACAATATTTAGTATTTAAGTCCATAGAAAACAAGAAACGATAGATAAATATTAGATTCAATTGAGAGTTGATATGAATAATAATAATAATAATAATAATAATAATAATAATAATAATAATGATAATAATAATAACGTTAGGTGTTATCATTATTATTATTGTGATTATTATTGCTATAACAATTAGGGGCCTATAATTATTATTATTGTTCTTTTAAAATTCTATCATCATTATAATATCAATATTATAAATAATAGTAATAATGAATAATGTAATAATAATATTACAATAATAACAATATTATTATTAATAATAATGAATCACAATTGTCATATTAAATTAATAAATCAGATGGACGACTGTACCTATGTGGTACTGTACGCGCTCTTTTCCGGAATGTGTCTTGTCTAGTTATCAAGTCAAGATTATTTATAGCATTTAAAGTGGTTCCTGTGTGAACTTAAGCGTGGTTAAATAGATTTACATTAATTACCCGTTTATAAATATCGTTGCTTTTAAAGACACCTTTTTTCCACAGCATAAAAGTCATAATGACTAATACTAATGCTCAGACCAGTAGTCACCATCTATCGTACAATGAACTTGAACTCGTGAAAAGAATATTGCAACGTACGTTTCCCTTTTTTCATATTTTTATTTGTTTTATTTATTCATTTGACCCGGGAGTCACAGAAGCAGGAAACCAACTGCCACTAGAAGGATGTGCGACTCCCTTAATATCATTATCATAGGCCTACGTATAATTGTTAGTGTGATATTCAAACGCAAATATTAATTCAGATCTATTAGGTATTTTAAATAATTTATTTTTGTCACTCTTGAAGACAAAACACATAGAATTATACAAAACAGAGAAAAAAATTGATTGAGATTGTCAAAAACGAAGCCAATCACTGTCGTAGGTACTCTTGTTATTCATATAAACAAACAGGAACCAATACAGGTGTACATATTCACAGAAGCAGCGCCAGCGGGGGCAGGGGAAATTCCCCAGTTTGCCACCCACCCCAAAAAAATGAAGAAAAACCACAATTCGTTCCGGTGAAAAATGATATGTACTTTCTAGATATTTGTAGACTATCTATCTATAAAATCGATTAAGTAAATCTCTGAAATCCCTAAGTTGTCATATTTTTCATATTGTAGATACCTATACTATTTATAAACATACAAATACAATGTTAAATTTGCTGGTAATCGATTTAAGAATTTCCTAAATCCATAG